GCCACCACAGGTCCTTTTAAACGAGAAAGGTGGGGGTAAAATACTTTAAATAAATAAATAAAAATAATTCTTCTGTGGGCATTGTTTTTGTTTTCTTAATATTCAGTTGCAGCCCTCTTGTACAAATTGGATAGACATGGAAATAAAATACACTGTTGTCTGACACCCTTGTTTGTGAGAAACCATTCTGTTTCTCCATATGCTGTTCTAACAGTAACTTCTTAGCCAGAGTATAGGTTACACACCAGGACACTAATATACATCCATTTCTTTTAGAACAATCTGTAGTTCCTGGTTATCCACACAATAAAAGACTTTATCACAATTGGTAAACCACAGTGTAATTTTGCTTGCATGGAAATTAATGCTGTCGTCCTATAGCTACTGCTCCTTTTGGCATCTCTTTTCTTGGTGGTGGTGGTGGTGGTAGTAATGATAATAATAACAAACCTTTATTGGCATAGAAAGCAGTAAGATATAAACCAAACAATTGGTTTGTTAAGAACCCACATTTACAGAATCCAAAAAGCAGAAAGCATTCAACGAGGAGAACATCACCTCCTAACAACTGATCCAAAAAATCTGCAACTCTATTCCGTGATATTATCCACCTCCATTGATAACATGAAACCAACTTTGTCCAGATCAGATTTTCCCTGCAGTTTTAGTAAAGTCGAGGCATCATACCTTGTATGATAGTACTGGTGGAGGGGACAGTGCAAAAGCATATGAGCAAGGGTCTCCAAGGGACCCTGCTCATATCTTTCAAGATGGGGGATTCTGTTAAACCTGCCATGCAGTAAGGCTGCAGGCATGACCTTGCATCTGGCAAGAGGAAAAACTCAATGATTTTGTGGGCATTTAAGCAAGGAAAGAAAAGCAGCTGGTTGTCCAATTTTGAGGGGTATATGAAAAACAACAACAATCAGAAGACAGGTATTAGCTGCATTTCATAATTCCTGAAATTCAGTATCCAAAATTCTTCTTTTGACTTAATAAACCTAAAGAATCAGTATATAAGCCAATCAATTTCAGTTTTTTCAGAAGGGCAGTTGACCGGAAAAGAGAATCCAGCAGAAGTTGGTATAACAAGCTGTCTCCAATAAGGATAATCCAGTCTCAAGACAAAGCACCAAGTCTCAAGACAAAGCACCTAACAATTTACATAAAAATAATGTTGTAACTGCTCAATTGAACGAACGGTCCATGGTCTTTAACCAGGTTGGAATACCATACAGAATTTGTGAGGTAATTTTGGAGTTAAAAACCTGTATAGCTGCTGGGACATAACAGCTACCTGTGTTGCATTAGAACTGAAGCATAGAGTGAAAAGTAAATCTGGCTACATTTAAAACCATTTTACAATGGGGAACCGAGGAATGTTTATAATGAAAAATACTACCTAGATATTTATACTGTTTAAGGTGTTTGATAGTGTTTCCATTTAGATTCCATTGAAATTGTTTCCATGACTTAGCAAAACTCAGTATTTTTGATTTATTATAATTCAGTTGCATTTTTGTTCTCCCTCCCCCCCCCCGGAAATACTCCATACATCTGTTAATCAATTTTATTTATTTTATTAGATTTATACCCCGCCCTCTAGAGTGGGTCTACTCTGGGCGGCAAGCCTTTCAAACCAGGACAGGTGCACAAGATGTTAACGGCATCACCCGTATGATGGGACAAAATGTGCCCCCAGTTTTGGAGAGTGACCATCTGCATTCACTAAAAAAGGGGCTAGATATTCATAAAGAGATTAAACAAGGAGGGAGCAAAAATACAGCCTTGCTTCACTCCCTTACTGATTGGAAACTGATTAGTTCACTCACCTTTCCAAGATCTAACTTGATATATTGTACCAGAATATAAAATATTTATGAAGGAAAGAAGTCTTTTATATATGCCCAAATGTTTAAGTTTATCCCACAGGCACTCTCTGTCTACTGAGTCAAAAGCTACCTTTAAATCAAGGAAAGCTATGTACAGTTTAGAACTTGTTTTATTAATAAGATGTGTAAGTATCAGACAGTTATCTACTGTGGCCTTTCCTTTCTTGAAATCAGCTTGCTCGAGGCCTAGTATAGACTGGTTATTAATCCCAGAAGTAAGTTTATTTAGTAGATATTTGCATAATTTACTGATAATAAATTAATTGGTCTAAAGTTTTCTGGGAGGTCGGGGACCCTTTTTTAATAGACGGGGACAACAATTGTGTTGGTCCAAAATTTGGGAGTTATCCCAGTACTGTTTATAGCAGTAAAAAGAAGGGCAAGTAAGCCCATCAGTCCGGTTCACATTTCAGTAAATCTGGGGTAATTGCATCAGGCCAGACGCTTTCCAAGCTTTTAAATGAGTTGTTAGTTCTTTAGTCTCTTCAGTGGTTGCTGATGGCCACACTGGAAGATCGGGTGAAGAAAAGTTGCTAGAGTCTTTAGGGACTATATCTTTGTTAAAAAGAAGCTCTGGAAAATATTGGACCCATCTTAGTGGCACTATTACTGCAGGGTCATGTACCTCCATCCTGGAGGAATCAGCCACAATGGCCCAAAATAGCTTACTGTTTTTCTGGGTCAGTGCCTGTTGCAGCATGTTCTATTTGTCCAGAATAAATCTCTGCCTTTTTTTTTCCTTATACAATCCCTTAATTGTTTTCTTGGGGAAAGGGATTTGTGTAATGCTTGAATAGAATCAGACTTTCTATATGTCCTATATAAATTGTGGATGCATGCCTTCAGGTCCCTGCATTCAAACCAGATTCTTTGATTTGAAGATTTGCTACATCTTTGGGTGGACGGTGTTCTCCCTAGTTCAGAGGAAAAATATCCAATTAACCCATCATATGCTTTGATTTTATCAAAGGATTCAACAGTTTGTGGTGGAAATCAGAAGAGCCTTACATTTATCCATTAATAGCAGTTTTTGGAACTTTTGATATACTAAATTATTCCAAACTACTTTCATCATTGTTACCAAATCATTTCTTGAATCCAAGGGTACATTTGTCTATTAAAGGGTGGTGATCACTAACGGAAATCACCCATTACAAATTCCAGATCTTCAAGATGTACCAACTGCTCATTCATTGGCTCTAACTCGGACCTAGCTAATGACCGTCTAGTAACTGACTGAATAATCTATCTTTTCTTGGCAGTTAGAATGTACATTGAATGTTTCCAGGCCATCGTTTGGTTTCCCATATTTGTTGGCAGATTCTTTTCAGGATTTTGATTGCTTTAATCTCTGAAGCTTGGAATAGTTCCATCAGTAGCCCATCAAAACCTGGTAATTTATTTCGGGCTTTTTTTTAGGTCTACACAATTCTGTCTCAAAGCCTAGTAGAAAACAAGTTGCTACAGTTGATCTCATTTGAGGAGGCAAATTTAAAAATTCTGGTGCTTCCAAACAACTATAACATTGGTTAGGAGAAGCAGATGCTTGTTATCAGAAGAACATGATTTTGAAATTGATAGCTATGCTTTCACCGTTTATTTGCATTGAATATATTCTGCAATTTAACAGAGATGCAAGTCTACTAGTTGTAAGAATGAGGCAATGTATATATTTTAACCATCTGATTTGCACGATTGTGTTGGAGATTTGTGATGTTTCTGTGGAAAACATGATTTACCATATTTTTCCATGTATACAGCCCCCCAATGTATAAAACAACCCCCTAATTTTGACCCTTGAGGAAGTGGAGGAGCAGTTAATGGGCAACTGCTCCTCCACCTCTGTTTCCTGCTGCTGTTGTTGTCTCCGCTGCTCACCCGATCACCTCTTCCAGTGCCACAGCCGGGGCTCACCTCCAGCTCACGTCGCTGCCTTGTCCCCTGCCCTAAGGAGATCGCTAGAGGAGGTGATCCGGCAGCGGCATCAGGAAGAGGCACCCGAGTGCGCTTGAGTGCTTGTTTGCCTCTGCCTCCTGCTGCCTCCACCACTGGAGGGGACAAGGCAGCCACGTGAGCTGAGCCCGTGTGACCCACTGGAGGTGGTGATCGGGTGGGCGGGGAGGCAGCAGCAAGAGGCGCCCGAGCACGTGTGAATGCTCCTTCGCCTCCGCCTCCTCCTGTTGCTGCTGCTGCCTCAGCCACCGGAGGGGACAATCTCTGGAAGAGGCAATTGGGCAGCGGCGGTAGCAAGAGGCGCCCGAGCGCACATGCAACTGTCTCATTCCATTTATAAAACAACACTCAATATTTCCTCTAATTATTTTAGGAAAAAGTGTAGTTTTATACATGGAAAAATACGGTACTTAAATATATTTTTTCTTTGTTTATTTAAGTAATTTAAAACATTAGTTAAAGCAATCCAGCCTAAGTTGAAGAGTCCTAGGGCTCACATCCACCTTTCTCCCAGAAATGATATTTCAGCCTTTTTAGAAAGTCTATTGAGTAACTAGCCCATACAAATTTCTCGTAACCTACTTGCCTTCGTTTGTTTGTTTTAATAATTTGTAGTATAAAATAGAAGGAAGAGAAGACTACATACTTACACAGCAAAATGTCCTGAAGCACCTTTAAGACTGACATGTTATACTTCGTACAAGGTTTTGTGAATTGCAGCCCACTTCTTCAGATGCAAGAAAATTTTAGTCATATGCCAAGAAAGCTTGTTGGTCTTAAAGATGCCAGGACTTAGTTGTTTTTACTGCCCTAACTTAGCTTCCTCCTTGAAAAAACATTTATACAGCTTCTCTTTATTATTGGTTGGACACAATTACTCTCCATCCATGATGAGAGGAGTGGCTGCTTATAAGCCAGTGCTACGTAACTCACAGGTTATCTTCTCCCTTCAAACACCCTTCTGGTTTCCATATATACCCAAACAAATGCAGCTATATTTCTGTTTCTGGAAGCAGTTGTAAAATTTAGGTGCAGGTATCTTTAGAGATACAGGCTTTCCTTAGTCTTACCAAACCTTTTACTTGATGGAGAGAAGATATGTTTGGACTGATCATAATTCAACAGCTCTACCTTTCTGTTTCTTCTCCACAACAGATACCTCTGTCTCCTGCAACATGGCCTCTGATCTTGAAAGCAGTCTTACTTCCATTGATTGGCTCCCACAGCTCACCCTTCGAGCCACTATTGAGAAATTAGGGAGTGCTTCTCAATCAGGCCCTCCAGGAGCTGGCAGGAAGTGTCCTCCTGGCTCACCCACGGACCCCAATGCGACCTTGAGCAAGGATGATGCTGCAGTCCATCAGGATGGGAAGCCACGCTACAGCTATGCCACTCTGATCACTTATGCCATCAATTCATCCCCTGCCAAGAAGATGACCCTCAGTGAGATCTATCGCTGGATTTGTGACAACTTTCCATACTACAAGAATGCTGGCATTGGGTGGAAGGTGAGGATCTTCACAAATGAGAACTTGTTCCTCTTTCATATGAGGGCTTACCTTTTGATTTAATGTACCAACCTCTTCCCCAAGTGAAAATTTCATCGAATAGAATGTTAAAATAAAACTATATCTTCAAAAAGGGCAAAAAAGAGGAACCTGGGAACTACAGGCCAGTCAGCCTGACATCAATCCCAGGCAAAAGTTTGGAACAGATCGTAAAGTGGACATTGTGCAGGCACCTAGAAAACAATGCACTAATAACTAGAAGCCAACACGTATTTGTCAAGAACAAATCCTGCCAAACTAATTTGATCTCGTGTTTTGATCAGGTCACCTCCCTGATAGACAGTGGGAATGCAGTAGATGTAGTATATCTTGGCTTCAGCAAAGCTTTTGACAAAGTGCCCCATGATCTCCTGATTAGCAAGCTAACTAGGTGTGGGCTGGATACATCAAGTGTCAGGTGGATACACTATTTATTTATTTATTTATTTATTTATTTATTTATTTATTTATTTATTTATTTATTTATTTATTTATTTATTTATTTATATGCCGCCCACACTACTCAAAGGTCTCTGGGCTGCTTACAACAGTTTAAATACAGGTAAAAAATAAAACAATTAAAATACAATTAAAAATACAGTGCCATAAAAATTGCCATCAGGACCCACAGTTGATATTATTTCAATTAAAAACCTTCTGGAACAGGAAGGAGTTGACCCGGCATCGAAACGTCATCAGCATTGGTGCCAGACGAATCTGACTCAGGATTCCATAGTCTGGGGGCAGTTGCCGAGAAGGCCCTTTGTCTACAAGCCATCCCTCTTACCTCCTTGAGGGA